GTCATATTTGGCTAGGATGTAGCTAGCATCCATTATTGAGAGGTAGAATGGCTGTGGCCCTGTAGGACTAAGCCGCAATATCACTGGTGCCTGGAACAGGAATCGACTACATCAGTTTGGAAGTAGCTCCTGACAGCACACTGGAGACCCATTGTGGGCACAGGCCTAGTAGGAGAACTTGGAGAACTTCTCTTCTAGGCACAGCTCTTGATGGTAAACATGGGAGCTTGGGCTGAGAGGCTACACCAGGCTGGGCTATAGCACCTTTAGCATACGTGTGAGTCAGATCTGGGATTGGGCTGGTCACAGTCAGTCCACAGAAGACAGTGGCATGGGTGACAACGAGGACATAGTATAGGTTAGGTTGGTTGAACTGCAATACCTGTCAGTTCACATGAGAGCTGGGAGTGTGTCAGGATGGCTAGGCTGCTGAACCCCTGCCTGTGAGAGTTGGAACAAGCGTAAACTGAGATTAACCAGGACATGACTGAATGTGTGATGAAAGTGGACCATCACAGACTAGGCTTCAGCACCTGCTGGCACACACCAGATCCGGGCCTGGGAAAATGCCCACCAGAGGGACTTTAGGGACATTCTTGTTGGAATGCTTCTTCCACTTGTTAGCATGAGAGCTAAGACTGGTGGCAGATTGGTGTGTGGATACACCACACTGGGCCAGCCACACTAGGTCACTGCTCCACCTGTCAAGTGCTGGGACTGGGTGAAAGTCATGTCAGGTTGGATTATAGTACTCATTGGCATGCAATAGATCTGGGACTAGGAACATACCTGGTTGAGGAACTGTGGGTACTTCCCTGCTAGGCTGTAACCAAAAACACAAGAATCAGGGGTTGGGGTAGGCCAGACTTGACAAAGCGGCAGTATTTGCACACATCAAGGCTAAGTCTGGGGAGGATTGGCCTGAGCTAAATTGCAGCACCCAGAGGTGTGTAAGAGAGCCTGATAGGAGATGAGTTGGGCCAGGTTACGCTGCAACAGAGATTGGCATGCAGCAAAATTAGGTCTGGGAGTTGTCCTCTTGGGGAATTTTGGGGCTTGTTCTGACTTGATTGCAGCACCATTTGGTGTGCATGGGGACCAGGTTGGACAACACTTCTGGATGAATTTTGCAGCATATTCCAATCTCTGGATGTGCCAGTGTGGACTTTGTGAATCAATGGATCTTGAAGATATTTTTTCCATTAACAATTTTCTAGAACTATCAAAAATCAATTTAGTAATACCCAGAGAACATTCTTCCCCATATCAGGTTCTCTCAGATGTATTAAGTGACCATCTCCCTTCCCCAGGGTGCTGACGTAGTTTGATAGCAACAAGCACTCCCTTCCACCTCTTCCACTGCATGCACAGGAGGAAATAACAACAACAACAACAACAACAAAACCTGAAATATGTTCTGCCTACCTTCCACCCCTCCTGACCATCCTCACCATAGACAGAGGTCTCCACGGGTGTGCATTCCTCTCAACTATGTTAACAATATTTTAAAAAAGAAAGAGAAAGAATACCTAAAATCTGCCTTTCCTATGTAAATAATTCTAAAAAAAAAAAAAAAGAGGGAGTTAAAAGACTTGAGCAATCATGATGATGCCAGCATCCCACATGGGTAAAAGTTTGAGTCCTTTCTGTTTCACTTTCTGTCCAGTTATTTGTTGATACATGTTGGAACACAGCACGGTATGGTTCGAATGTTTGAACCCATGTACCCAATAACAGGCGTGGATGAAGCTCCTTGATTCAGCAAGCTTCAGGCCTAACCATTTGTTGAGTAAACTAGCAGATGGAAGATTTTTCTCTGCCTCTCCCTAAAACTCTTTCAAACAAAATAAAATGTGTGTTTAAAGAAGAAAAATAGGTATATATTGGGATAAGTGGGTATTTGTATAAATATATTGTAGCCTCCAGGTAAATGTGTTCATATACAGTCTTTATTTAATCAGACTCAGCCATGAATTTATTCATATCTCTTCTTTAATTTGCAAACTATTTCCTAAATAGTGCATAAGACAAAAAAGAGAAACAGTGGCAGATCTAAATCAATTTTGGGGACTCTTGTCATTTAAAGTTACCAGAAAGTTATTGGAAACGTAGGATACAATCTGAGAGAGGATATTCATAATACAATGTGATTTTAAAAATAATCTAACTCTAGAAGAACACAAAAAATTCAGGATACATAAAGGTCTTATTATATGAAAAAAATGCAAAACATTTCACAGTAAAACATTAGAGAAATGGACAACATAATTGAAAATAATAAAAATAACGAGTGAACATTTTAATGGTGCCCCAAATATTTTTCAAATGTAGAAAATAAAAATCAAAACCATAATGAGATAACATTCCATACTCATATTTTAGAAGTAAACAAATAAATACTTAAGTAAATGACATTTTAGTAGATGTTGCGCATGACTTGAAACTGTGACACCAATGCTCTCACTTGTCACTTTCAGAATAAACACATGGCATTACTGCAAAAAAAAAAGGTTTATGTACTGAAGACGTGAACACACACAGAGGTCTTAGAATTTCAAATCTTGTGACTATATTCTGCTCCACACCATTTATACATGCATAAAACAATATGATATACAAATATGTATATGTATGCATAATATATATATATAATTAAATTATAAAGTGTGTAAAACAAAATAACCCAAAATAACCAAAAGATCAGTGACAAAATGGTAATCAAATGATGATATATCTGTATGCTGGATTTTCATGAAATAGCGAAAAGGAGTGAAACCCAAATATAAATATTACGATGACATGTCTACTTTGTGCTGTCATAATATGACCCTGAGTAGGAGTGTTTTATAAAGAAACATTTTTTGGATTCATGATTTTATTGAAGATTAGTTGGCTGTTTCGCTAAGGATCTGAGTAATAGGGATACATAAAGAGGAAGTATGTGCTTATGAGAAACTTTCTTTGCAAGAGAAACAGGGGGCTGTGCTGAGGGGTGAGGGGTTTGGAGTTGTGGGACATAGGTTGAGTTGCTGTCTTCAAGGCTGGCATCCCATAGGAGCACTGATAGTACTCTTGCAATCTCTATTCCTCCTAGTATGCCTGGGGGGAGAACAGAGCTGGTCCCAATGCATGGGTCTCTGCTGCTCAGGCGGGAGGACCAGATGACAGAATCCCAGGATACTGGCCTCAGACTGCAATAGCATCAGTCCTTGGAGCCATCTGGGGAGTGAATCTGTGTAGGCAAAGTCTTTCTCTGTGTGCGTTTGTGTGTCTCCTTCTTTCACTCTACCTCTGCTTTCAAATAAATAAATAAATCTTAGAAGAAAAAAGATAATTAGAGACTAGAGGGTGGTGCCAGGCAGCATCATATCAAGTCAGTTTTGTAGGAACTAATCCAACCCTGTGAGACCTGACTCATACCCTGCAGACTTAAACATGAATCAATTCATGAGGGCGTCACCTTTACACTCTGTTCAGTACCTAAGTGCCCTGTCTTCTGATACTTTTACTCAAGGGAATTAAGTTTCCTTATGAGCTTTGATAGAGACAAACCATATTCAATCCACAGCACAAGAATTTATGTTGATATTGGTGAAAAAAATCAAACTCTGGGGGAATCTCTAGAGTAGGTTTTCACATTTGGATTCACAATAGGACCAAATTAAACAAACTATCAAGTGAAGAAGTATGAAGAAAAACAAGAAAGAAATTAAAATAATAAACAAAGTGAAAAGTTTACTTCTGGAAGACAAGGCGGCATATGATTTAAAAGGGAGTTTATGGTTGACTTCCAGGGTTTTAGACACTTTTTATTTCTTAAGTCATATCATGGTTATTCAAATATTTATTCTGCTTAATTCCTCAATGTATATGATTTATTTTAAATATGTACAAAGCTTAGGAAACTTTTGCTCTTCTTCATAAAAATGAAAAAAAAAAGATAATGGAAATTAAACCGGTATATTTAAATGAGAGTGCTCTAATCAATCTGACAATTTTCTTATAGTATTGTGAATATTTGAATGGCTTGGTAAGTGCAGATTCATATGAGAAATTTGGCCAACTAGAATCAAGAATACTATTGCAAAGAGGAAGTTTAATTTATTCCATTGCTTTCAAGTAGAATTTGTGAAACCTTTCTAACTCCAATGTCTTTGATATTCAATACTGACCATTGTTCATTTGTACCTGGATAATATAAAACACAATTCAACAAGTAAGCTAGGATGGATTTTTTTTTCCTTTGAATCAATGAAAAGTTAGTTATTATGTGTATAAAAATATATTTGGTTTAAATATCTGTGAAATATATTGGAAATAATGCCAGAAGGTTTCTATACAAATGTTGAAATGTTTGAAGAAATACTGCAGTTATGATAAGTTTCCATGTATTGCATTTCTTACATACAAGAAGCAGATGTAGTACATTATGCGAGAAAAGAAATCAGAGGTAAAGTGCCTGCATGCTCAGGTTCTGAAAGGGTCCCCTTCTGAATCATGCACAGAAAGTAACTTTTTGCAATGTCTCATTAAAAATATGTATTTATTTATATTTATTGAAAAGGCAGACTTACAGAGAGATGGCAAGACAGAGAAAGAGCTTCCATCTGCTGGTTCACACCCAAATGGGTGAGCATATCTGAAGTTAGAAGACAAGAACTTTTGTATTACCCACATGGACGCAGGGTCCCCAGGCTTTAAGCCGCCCTCCACTGCTTTCCCAGGGTTCAATCAGGGAGCTGAATGGGAAGCAGAGCATCCAGGATATGAACTAGAGCTCATATGTGAAACAGCATTGCAGGTGCAAGATTAGTCAGTGGAGCTCTTGTCCTGGCCTCTCACACTATGTTCCTTAGTAAAAGACAACCCTAGCTTTGTTGTTGTTGTTTTTAATTTAAAAGCCAGAAAAAATTTATTCAACTAGTTCACTTCATACTCAATTCATTCGTAACATTCCTATTATCAGTGGGATTCATTACATATTAAAAATAACGCCATACTTATGAACAAATAAATTCATTTTTCCAGTAAGATCTAATCCTTTTTTTAAGAAGATTTCCCACATATTCACAGTAGATAATATCATAGAGTACCCATACTAGGCTTAAATATCTCTGAATTGTAGCATTACAGGATGGAAGTTCATTGGGCCCGATAATTCGATTGGGTTTTGACCAAATATCTTCCGGAGTTTGGTGATGAAAAATAGTGTGTTCTATTGTCCATCTGAAAGCGAATGTGAAGTTAGTGTCTTCAAGGTGTCTTGCAATGTTTTTGAACAAAGGTAAAATCTCTCCAGTACAATGACTGTGGGGAGGGGAGACACCCCAGGGTCTCCTCTTGTGTTTTTTTTTTCCTTTTTCTGATTGCTTCTGCAGCTGTGCAGGGGGAACCTGCACCTCCAACGAGTGCGACTGCATCAACGGCTGCCTTTTCAGACCAGGCTGAAACTCCCACAGACCTACTGCGCAGCCATAACTCTGGGATATCACCTCTTGTTCGAAAACGGTCAAGGACAGTTTCACATCTTTCACGGCCTCTCTGGAAAGCGCAGGTAGAGACCTCTTAGGTTTGACTGGAAGTCGGGACCCATCATATGGAAACCAAGGAATAAATCTTACTTGAATTACCTTTTCTGCAATTTTTGACGGTTGTGCGGAGTCATTCTCACAAGGTCGATAATGTAATGTTATTTCTGTAATCATTCTTCAGTAATCCTGTTACTCTTAATGAAAATGTTCCAGCTGAACTCCTCAGAACTAGAATGTAATTTATTACTACAATATCTTCTTGCCAAATCAAGGGGAATCAGAATCTTTCAGCGCCAGCTGATGCTCCTGTTTTCGGGGGATTCACTTCCATTCTGACTGGCCCTTCTGACTCACTGCCTACGGGAACTGAAGAGGTTTAGGTTGGCCCCAAAGAAAATGAAAAAGTGCACGTTCCCGAAGAACGAGTGTCAAACGTTCTCCCCACTTAGTGTCTTGTCTCCAGTTGCTTAAATTCACCTCTTACTATGAGCTGGGCAGAAATCTCCGGGTTCTTCCCTCCAAAGCCGCCATCCTTTGGCTCTTGGAGATCTATACATGAAGCACTGTATTTTCCATCTACAATCACACATCAGAATTTGAAAGCAGCACACTTGGACAACACTAGTTTTATAACTTTCTTACATGGATATTTGTGTTAATGATAGTGATTCCACCTTTAGAAGGCAATTCACATTCAAAGCCCCAGTAGCTAATGCTTTCAAAATGGGATTTGGATTTTCATATAAATTATTTGAAGAAAAGTCCTGCATAGTGGCAGGGTGGGTTCAGTCATTGTTTGCATCATTATAAGACTGCATTTTTTAGCCCAGCCTGCTCTGTCTCCTACACAGCCTCTTGCTAATGTGTTCTGGAAGAGAACAGAGGGGAGCCCATGTACGGAGCTTCCTGGGAGATCTGACTTCTGATTTCAGCCCACCCCGCCCCTGATGGCCGCAGCCGTTTGGGGAGTGAATAAATCGGTGACTGATGTCTATGTCTCTGCCTGTCTCTTCTATATTTTGGCATATGTATACATAGGTAAGCATATATATGCACACACACATACATATATATTTGAAGAAACATATTCACTTAATAGTAATTAACCAGGGTTTTACTCTAAAACTTGATATTTGCAAAATATATCTCAAAATGTCACGTTATTTTATTTGCCCTATAATTTCACTTTAGTTTATAGAGATTAGCTTTATATGCGAATTATTTACCTGCTCCATATGGTTTCAATGATGTTGCAATGTTTGAGAATATTGAAATTGTGAATGTATTGTATTTGCAATACTTTTCACATATTCCAAATATTTTGAATGTTATATTTCATTAGCCTATTTTAAATTTTGCTTTTAATGTCAAAAATTCAATTTTACATTTAGAAACAATATACTCAAATGAATCAAGATGAATATCTGAGGGTAGATATTTACATAGCAGTGATTGCAGATTTGGGTAAGCAATACGAATGCAATGATTGTAAATTTGGGTAAAACAACAGTTAGTGTCTCACAGTAAATTGCAAAATTACAGAAGCTATAAAAAATTTGTATTTTGTAGCTCTCTTACACCAACTTAACTCCCTTTCTTTTCCTTTGTATTCTTTCCTTGTTTCCAAATTTGTCAGTATATCTCTTCCTATGTTGACAGTTTAGATATTATTCTTAATTTATGTAAATATTGAGGTTGTTTTTCAGCCTCACTTTAGTTTGTAATTTATTTAGATGTATTTCATGCATATCACCATGGGATCCAGAGTACTATTTCAACACACAAGTATAACACAGCAAATCAGTCATCTCTGCCTCCGAACCCTCCCTTCTTATTTGGAGCCTGCAATTTCCTCTCCCCCAACACTTCCTGCTGTATAATAATTTATTATTATGATCTACAGTCATTTGAAGCAACACAATACACAGTTTCAAGATCTACTACAGAGCTATTGTAACCAATACTGCATGGGAGTGGCATAAAAATAGCAACCACCAAAGCAGAATAGATATCCTGGAAATGAATTATTGCATATGAAGCCAACTGAACTTTAACAGAAGCCCCAGAAACACACACTGGAGAAGAACAGTAGGAAAGTTGGATGTATATGCAGAACATTGCAAACCTGACCTCTGGTTCTCCCCTGTAGAATAGCTTTATTCATATCTGTTCAAACTATGCGAGTACTAGAAGAAAACAGGGCAACCTTTTCAAACCAGTGTAGGCAACAGTTTTTGTTTGTTTGTTTGTTTGTTTTGTTTTGGTTTGGTTTAGATAATTACTCAAAAGCAGAGGAAACAAAGGTAAACTAAATTATTTGGAAACTTGTGCACTATAAATGAATCAGTTAACACTGTTTATGTGTTTTAAAGGAATCTTATGTCTGTTGAGTCATATTATTATTATTAGCTTTTTCCTGTAAAAGAAAAAGAAAATTTTAGATCAACATGAAGCTTAAAACTGAAGCAAACTTGTTCACACTTGCCCAATATTCTAGCCACCCAATCTCAAACACATTTTGAAAATAACTAATACCCTTTGCACACATTTACAAAGAAACATCTGAGCCAAGAGAATTGACTGCATTAATTTGGAAGCTCTCATATAATATTACTTCTCATTCAATTTATAAATTGTTCCTACTTCCCAGTTCCTTGGAACCCCAAGTGTGAATTTTAGTTTGACTTTCTGGGTTAATTATCTCAATTTCTCATTTCCCCTGGTTATGAAAATTCAAACTGGATGTTATATCTGAATGAGAATACACAATTGAGCTGTTAAATGAATATAAGCTCAGGATACTTAAAACTTTAATATAATTATTTGGTGAATGCATTTAATACTGCCAGGCGCTTCCATCCATTTATATAAAGGCAACTACTAATCACTTACATTAGAATAAATTGATATGTCAATAGCATCATCTTGGAACTCTTAGGACTTCCATCTTCTGTATGAGGTACTTAATTTCATGCTCTAATAAAAACGCTGATTTATATTCTCTCCTAGCTAATTCTTCCAAATCTGTTCAATAATAATTAAATTGCCTGATGTTTTCCAAAATGACAATTTTAAGATGTTACTGGAAAGAGCAAAAGTCGCTTGCATAAATGTAAACTGGCTTTGTTATTCATTACTAAGATTTCTCATCAGTTTAAATGTATAAATACACAAATAAGAGCACAGGAATTTGGAAACTTTTCAGGATTATGTTTTCCATCTGCTTTTATTTTGCTTTCAGTGCTGAGTTGAAGTAAACCAGATTAGTTTTCAATATTTTTTAAAAAGAAATAAGTAACATTATTCAGGGTTAGTTATACATTTATTTTATTTAGAATCAATTCATGTAAACAAGATCACATAAAATACCTAAAAGACTCCTGCAGCTTGATCGTTTCTTAATTTTTATGTTTGGTACTGATATAAAATTGCTAAATGTTTTTTAATTTTGAGCTTATATAACACTTACTTATACTTAATCATTCCAAAATGCGTGATTCTAAGAAATTAAAATGTTTATAATAGAATCAATTCTAGACTTCCTTTAAAATTTAAATATTATACACCTTTACATTACATGTTTTAAGAATAAAAATGTGTAAATCTATATACTTGCACAGTGAACTAAATTTTTCAGATAATAAACCTAAAGAAACTGAAAAATTAAGTAGTTTAAATTTGTTGAAATTTGTAGTCATATTTGGCAGTTTGTTTCCAAGCTTAAAAAATTAGACTCAACAAATAAGGATTTTAGAAACATGCAATTTTTTGTTAAAACTCACCATATCTGATATCTGCTCTTTGTTTCTTAAAGACTTATTTATTTTTATTGAAAAGGCAGATTCAGGGAGACAGAGACAGAGAAAGATCTTCCATCTTCTGTTTCACTCCCCAACTGGTAACAACAGCCAGAGCAGAGCCTACCTAAATCCAGCCGCCAGGAGCTTCACAGGGTCCTAAGGCTTTGGCCCCTCCTGCTGCCTTCCTAGGCCGTAAACAGGGAATTGGAGGGGGAAGAATGTGCTATGCCAATTGAAAAGAAAAGTGAGTTTGTGAAGCCATTTTAATATCAGACAAAATAGACTTAAATGCAAAAGCCATTTAAAAAAGATGAGATCATACACTATGTAATGGCCAAGGGACCCATTCAATAGGAAGAAATGACTGGAACAGGTGCATATGCACCCAATACCAGCGAACCTAGTTACATAAAAAAAAAAAAAAAAACCTGGTAGTGTACTTAATGGGAAATATACTCCAATAATAATGATAAGAAGAAGAATAGTGGGAGATAACAACACTCCACTGTTATGAATAAAGGTAGAGGGGGCGGGACGAGGGGGGAGAGGACTTGATTAAGGTTATGTTTTTTATGTTTAATGTTGTTTTGGTTAGTTGGAATTGATGTTTTATGGTGGGTGATGTATTTTTTGTTATATGGGGGGGGAATGATAGGATGTTAGGTGGAAATGAATGTTATATGTTTATTAATGTTTTATGAATAAGGTATTTTATTTTATAAAAGATTGTATGTAGAGTTAAGTATTAAGTAGGTTTGTAAATTATTAAAGATGCGGAAAAAAAATAAAAAATAAATTATATATTTAAGGATGATAAATAGGTCTGTCTAATTAAAATCAAAAAATAAAAATAAAAAACATTCTGAGATATCAAGGATATCAACACCCAAATATACAAAATCCACATAATGCCGCAGAAAATCCATCAAATAACCAAGCCTCTTTCCCCTCCTGGCCACCAACCCCACCCTCCGATACCCCACACACCTCCTTTCGATACCACCCCCACTCACCCCCCCCTCCCCCACCGTCCACCCACCACCCAACTCTACCTCCACTACCCCCCACCCACCCCCCACCCCTAACCCACTGCAAACTACCCAAGCCCCTCATCACAAATGCCCACCCCACCACCCCAAGCACATGCCCCAAAGCCCCTGCTCCCTCGCGACGACTGCACACCATCAACACACCTACGATAAGACACCCGGGCCTACGCCCAAAAGACTTCCCCAGTTCACATTACCACTTCAACCCTGCGAACCCGCCAACAAAAACAGAAAGAAACTACACGCTAACAGATTGGAAAATCAAGAAATCCATAAATTTCTGGTCACAAGCAATTTATCAAAATTGAATCGTGATAACATTGCA